TGAACCCTGTTGTTATCTAAAGTCACGATTTGAGGCGGTTTGAGCACATCACGATTACACCCCATGATTTGAGAAAATTAGTGACAAGCGGTTATGAAGAAAACTTGGTGGTAGGAGTTACAAATGGTAGTTATTGGTCAGTCAGCCACTATGAAAGAAATGGATAGTTACAAACAGAATCCAAACGGTTAAAAACTGCCCAATGAGTATAAAAAGAAGATGAAAGCAATGAAGAAAACACCGACAAAATTCACTCTCAAATAGAGAATATGTAATTTACTTTTTCTTAAATTAATTTTAATTAATTCATCTCCTTGTACTTGTGTGCTTACGCCCCTTGGAGGCATCTTGTTCGTATCCAAACTGTAATCTTCATATTCGATAAACACCCCTTTTTGAGACTTTGTTCCAAGAGGTTTGTTCCTTACACAATCGTCTGCTTCTCTTTTAATTGTTAGCGAGTAACCACGCGAAACAGATATGGTACTAACATATGTTGGAAAGCAACCGGAGCATATTCATGCCTACGTTGCCCCATATGTCCCATGCGTCCCTATTTGAGTCCCTACTTCCAGTCCCAATTTTTTACTTATTGCTTATTTAGGATTGCTATATCATATATGAGTAACTAATGGTGGTTCAGCCATGTTGACTTGTTATGAGAAGAAGCAAGGAGACCATTTGTAGAAACTACTTATGCTTTGTAGGATTTTTTTGGTGATGAATTATATTTGCGTTCTGGTACTTCGCAAATTGTTTTCCATTTTCCGTACAATTAATGTTATGGATCTAAAGAGAGAAATATTTGTTTTCCATTTTTCGCCTCGTGTTCTTGATTGCTAACTAGCTGTTGCTTTTTTTAAAGTTATATCACTTTTTTGAGTTTCAGTCACTTTTTATAATGTTTCACTATTTTCTATTACTTTTTTGGTTTTTTGGTCACTTTTTTGACTAACAAAATCAATTTTTTTATAAAAGTGAGATTGGGTCACATTGTCACTTACTTAATTTTATGCATTACCATCCGTGGATGTCAAAGTTGCCCGCCAATTTTATAAATCACTGTAACACAGTGAAAAAAATTAAAAAACAGTGGAAAATTCAAAAATAGTGAAAAATTCTTCTATTTTTTAATGAAATAATATATTATATTTTCCTAACATAATCAGCGTGTGGATTGGCCTTGACGTGTTTATTATTTTAAGAACATGATTACTGGTGCTACATAAATGGATGGTGCTATTTTGGTATTTGACACTTTTTTGAGTTTGTGTCACTTTTTTGAGTTTGTATCACTTTTTGAGAGCGTGTCACTTTTTTTTCAGTTTTTTCACTTTTTTTGAGTTGTGTCACTTTTTTTTAAAAAGTAAAAAATTGATAATTTTTATAAAAAAAGTGACATTGTATCACTTTTTCATTTTACACAATATTTTTTACTTCCTAAAAACTTTTCATATGATTTTTCAAAACATCAATAATTTTAAGGGTATTTTTGTAAGTACCCCAATAAAGTTCCAGAAAATTTGATTGAGAAAATGTCTAGGAGCTTAACTATGACTCATTTCAAAATTAAGAAACAATGTTTAAAACTTCAAAAATTAGATAGTACTAAATTTTATTTATGAAATAATTAATTAAATATATCTTTTATTAATTAAATATATTAATGTCACAATTCTATACAATTTGGTTACAAATTAACGAATAAATTGGTTACAAATTATTTATCGGTCAAGAAAAAAATTTATAGATCACAAATCAAAATTTTTACAGGTCATAATTTATTTATTGGTCACAAATAAAAAAAAAATTGTAGGTCACAATTTATTTATCGATCGCAAATTATAAATTTTACAAGTCACGACTCGAATTTTTTTGTCACATCTCAAATAATTGGTTACATATTATTTATTGGTCATAAATTAACCAATTTATTGGTCATAAGCACCACCACCCAACGCCATCCCACTGTCCCACCACCACCACCACCACCGTCACCGCCACCGACTACCACCACCATCACTTTCACCACCATCGCCAATATAACTACCGCAACAAACATCACAACCACAACCACTCAAACACCACAGCAGTAACGATGCATACATGAGAAAACAGATGAAATAGAGGCGATGCATTATGCTGCGTACAGAGACGTTGCAGCACAACGCTGCCCAGCGCAGCACCTCCGCTACATGACGCTATCGCTGCACAGTCGCCACCCAGCACCGCACCTCGTGCGGCGTGCTATGTTACTGGAGCCACATGCTAAGTTGCCTTGATTGTTGGATGTTACATTAATGTTACCGGGTTTGTAGGTGCGTTGTGAAGTCGCCGATGAGGGTTTAAAATTTACAAAGAAAATAGAAAACGCCAAAAAAGTCGTTTTGGCTGTTTTCAGTTAAAACCAAGCCAAAACTTCATTTTTTTTTTTTGAAAACAATTTTTCAAAATGACAAAAAGAAAACGTTTTCAACAATCTCAAAATGGACACTCAAAACACAAAATTAATTGAAAATTCAAAACTAAAAACTGAAAGACGAAGATAAGAGTCCCTAAACAATTGAAAATTGAAAGCACAAAAAGCCTTTTTAAGATACACGAGTCCAAGGAATCATTGACTCTAATTTCGTGATGGGAAAAATTCATGGATCAGGTATTATCTATCATGAAATTAAAAATCAGGCCTCAAGTTTTAAAATTGCAAAAATTAGGTTTTCCATGAATTAATTAATTATATTTCATAATTATTATATTAAATTAAATATTAAACTATAATACAATATAATTAATCCACCTCACCTCACCTCACCTCACCTCACCTCTACCTCCCCAATTGCTCCGACGACTACTTCGGTGACCGGC